TCCTGCTTGAGCAGGGGGCTGGACTAGAAGACCTCCAAGGTCCCTTCCAGCTCTATTTTGATTGGGTAAGACTCCTGCTTGAGCAGGGGGCTGGACTAGAAGACCTCCAAGGTCCCTTCCAGCTCTATTTTGATTGGATAAGACTCCTGCTTGAGCAGGGGGCTGGACTAGAAGACCTCCAAGGTCCCTTCCAGTTCTATTTTGATTGGATAAGACTCCTGCTTGAGCAGGGGGCTGGACTAGAAGACCTCCAAGGACCCTTCCAGCTCTATTTTGATTGGATAAGACTCCTGCTTGAGCAGGGGGCTGGACTAGAAGACCTCCAAGGTCCCTTCCAGTTCTATTTTGATTGGATAAGACTCCTGCTTGAGCAGGGGGCTGGACTAGAAGACCTCCAAGGTCCCTTCCAGTTCCATTTTGATTGGATAAGACTCCTGCTTGAGCAGGGGGCTGGACTAGAAGACCTCCAAGGTCCCTTCCAGCTCTATTTTGATTGGATGAGATTGAACCCTCTTTTCTTGGGCAGTGCACCTTTAAAATCCCACTGGGAGGTGGCCTTTTTCTCACTCGCCCTCCTTCCAGAGGTCTTCCAAGCGATTTGGCATACACGTACACGCACACACACGCACACACACACACACACACACACACAATTCCAGTGGTGGAATTGCCATCTCTGGCAGAAAGGTCCTCTCTCCGAGAAGGCCAACCCCGAAAGGTGAAAGGGTTTGCAGCAAGTGACAAGCCGGCTTTAGGCTTAATTAAACAGTCTCTCCCCCCGCCCGGTCCCCATTGTCCTTCCCTCCCGGTCTTGCTTTCTCTCTCCCCCTCCCGGCCCGCTTCCTCCCTCTCCCCTCTCCCTCCCTCCCTGCGTTTTATCATCCCTAATGAAGCAGTCTTTTCCATCCATCCTGCTGATTGCCAAGCCTTCTCCTTTGTTTGCTGGCACTCAGCCATGCAGCCCTGCTCTGACAGCCCAGCTCCTCTAATTAGCTCTGTTGTTCTTTTCCTCCGATGTTTCTCCGCCTTGCAAGTTCACAAGCGGAGAAGAAGAAGAAGATGAAGTTCCCGCAAACTTAATCCTTCCTTGCCTGCCATAAATTTCAGCCACTCTAAGCCTCATCTGGATGGGTGGATGGATGGATGGATGGATGGATGGATGGGAGATAGGGTTGCCAGGTCTGCTTCCAAAAAATAGCGGACAAGCGGGGTGGGGGGTTAAGTAGTAAAAAAAGGAGACTGTACAGCTTTAGATTGCGTGCCATTTCATCATAAAGCTTTTGAATAAAAAAAAAATGTCCACTATTTTGTGAAAAAAAATAGTGAACATAATGTGAAAAAAGCGGACTGTCCACTCAAATAGTGGACACCTGGCAACCCTAAAATTGGGAGGGAGGGAGGGAGTCAGCCTGTGTGTGTGTGTGTGTCTGTGTGTGTGTCTGTGTGTGCTGCACCCCTGTTGGGCTCTGGGGCTTCTGGCATCTGACCCCCGTCCATCCCATGGGACGCATGACATTCGGTGTCTCTCCAAAGGACCCGTGGGTGCTGTCCTCCCCCTCTTCCTCCAGCCCTCATACGTGGGGTGGGCTCCCCCTGGATATACAACGCCCAAGAAGTGGCCTTTTTTTTTTAATTTAAACTTTTTTATTTTTCCCAACTCTTCCCCCATACATATACCGCGATATTTATCACGTGTTAACATACATTCTTTTTACCTTCTTATCTATCAGATACTTTTAATAAAATAAAGTAAATACATACACATAAATTTGGTGTTGCTCGCCCATTTCCCCAAGGATTCAACAGTCTCCAAGAATTCCTCATCCACCCTAGATGAGGGGCAGGATTAAGGGGAAGGGTCCACAGTTTTGCCTCGTTCAGATCAGCAGGGTCCGACATTGAAGGATGTTTCAAGAGGCACCTATGGCTTTCTCAGTCCGGGGACAAAAAACACAGGCCTGTTTTTCTCGTTTTGCAAAAAAAAACCTGTGCAGTTTCTCCATTGGCAAAAAATAAATAAATCTGGGCGCGTTTTCCCGTTTGGCAAAAAAAAAACCTGGGCGTATTTCCTGGTTTTGCAAAAAGCTGGGCGTGTCGTCTCGTTTTGCAGCGAACTGGGAAATTGGCTTCGGCCCGTGTCGCCCATCAGGGTCACCCAGTAAGAATCCCCCTGTGAAGACACCGAGGTTGGGATAGCCCCTCCGTGGGGATGGAGAAGGGCACGGAGACTCTATTTCTGTGAAGTAGCAGAAAAAAATTTTGGGAGTTGGTGGAGAACATTGGAGAGTCCAAGATTAACTTATTTTGGAGTCGAGTGGCACCCTGTTCCCCCAAATATAGGCCCTAATTGGAAAATAAGCTCTAGTGTGATTTTTTTCAGGGTGCTCATAATATAAGCCCCAAAATAAGCCCCAGATTAAAATTGACAGCCGGACGGATGCGTTTAGTACCGTATTTCCCCCCAAAATAAGACCCAATGTGTCTTTTGGAGCAAAAATTCATAAGACCTGGTCTTATTTTCAGGGAAATTCGGAGAATTGAACTGAATTTCACTTGACAGTTCAAAGAAGCTGTTCAAACTGACCTGGAGCTTCTTCTAACTCTCAAAGAATCAGCATCCGAATAGAAAGGGACCTTGGAGGTCTTGTAGTCCAACCCTAGTCAAACAGGAGACCCTATACCAGGGGTTCTCAACCTTGGCAACTTTAAGACTTGTGGACTTCAACTCCCAGAATTCCTCAGCCAGCAAGCTGGCTGAGGAATTCTGGGAGTTGAAGTCCACAAGTCTTAAAGTTGCCAAGGTTGAGAACCCCTGCATACCTATATGACCCCATATGACAAAGAGGAACAAGATTCATCTTTGCAGACTTTGAGGCACAGGCTCACATCTGCTTTCTCCTTGTTGTGCAGCTGCTTAGTTTCACCTGCCCTTTCATTCATGCTTGAATTAGGAAGCCTTTTCTCGTTGTTGTTTTTTCCTTATCCGTGGTGTCCTACTTAAAGTGTGATGGCTGGTACAGTGGAGGCGCGGCATCAAAATCTGGGATTTGGAGAGGTTTCAGTTGCAGAGATGCCTGATATGAACTGAATTGCCTGCCCACACCTGGTGGATTGAAACCCAAGTGGATCAAATAGCAGTGAGAATCATGAGTTGGATTCCTGATGTGACAATAATTTTTCCCAGAACTGGAGAAGACTTTGGCAAGGAGAAATGTTGGGGTTTTTTTTTCCTAATTCCTGCATGAGGCTGTAGCCTGAAGGCATCTCAGGCTGGCTTTTATATACCGATGGTAGCATTTGGGAGTTTGAAGGACTTCACCACCGCTCCGGCCAATGTTCCAATGGTGGGGGTGTCTGCAAGGAATGGCTCCCAAAGTATAGATAGGCACCTCATGGGTGTTGTGGCTACTACCATCTTTACTTTCTGGACCTTACCCTGAAGATACCCCTAGTCCAGGGGTAGGCAACCTTGGCTCTTTTATGACTTGTGGACTTCAACTCCCAGAATTCCTGAGCCAGCATGGCTCAGCTTGGAAACCTCTCCATTTCCCCTCAGCATGGCTGGCTCGGGAATTCTGGGAGTTGAAGTCCACGAGTCATAAAAGAGTCAAAGTTTCCCTCATGCTGGCTCAGGAATTCTGGGAGTTGAAGTCCACGAGTTATAAAAGAGCTAAGGTTGCCTACCTCTGGCCTAGGCCTAGGCCGCTTTATGACTCGTGGACTTCAACTCCCAGAATTCCTGAGCCAACATAGCTCAGGATAGAAACCTCTCCCTTTCCCCTCAGCATGGCTGGCTCAGGAATTCTGGGAGTTGAAGTCCACGAGTCATAAAAGAGCCAAGGTTGCCTACCACTGCCCTACTCCTTTGGAGAAGTCCTACTCCAGCTGTCCATCTCTCAAAAGTCACCTGCTGCTTCTGGTGCTGCTTCTGCCTTAGTCTCCAGGCCAACGAGGGCCTTCCGTGAGCCCTCTGAACGTTTTTACATAGGGGCAGGGCTTGCATTGGCTGATAAAAAGCCAAACACGTTGGTTCCGTGGCTTTGTCTGGACTGTAGTTCATGTGACCCAGGAAGGTATCTTGCCCAGAAAAGTCGCTCAGTGGGTTTGGCAAAGGGTCGTGCCATTTCCAGAAGAGTTGTGGTGAGTTCTTTGATTGGGGAAGGGGGTGCATCGTATCACTTCTCCCGCTCCCTTGTCTGAAGTGGTAGAGGTTCTTCTGTTTGAGCAGGGGTTGGACTCCAAGGTCCCTTTCTATTCTATCCCATCTTGTCCCATTCTTCTCTTCTCTTCTCTTCTATTCTATTCTATTCTATTCTATTCTTTCTCCTACTCTACTCTCCTATCCTATCCTATCTTATCCTATCCTATATTATATTCTCTTCTCTTCTATCCTATCCTATCCTATTCTATATTCTCTCTTCTCTTCTTTTCTCTTCTCTTCTCTTCTCTTCTCTTCTCTTCTTTCTCCTACTCTACTCTCCTATTCTATTCTACTCTATATTATATTCTCTTCTCTTCTTCTCTTCTCTTCTCTTTTCTTCTATTCTATCCTATCCTATCCTATCCTATCCTATCCTATCCTATCCTATTCCAATTCTATTCTATTCTATTCTATTCTATTCTATTCTATTCTATTCTTTCTCCTATCCTATCCTATCCTATCCTATCCTATCTTATCCTATCCTATATTATATTCTCTTCTCTTCTATCCTATCCTATCCTATTCTATATTCTCTCTTCTCTTCTCTTCTCTTCTCTTCTCTTCTATTCTATTCTATTCTATTCTATTCTATTCTTTCTCCTACTCTACTCTCCTATCCTATCCTATCTTATCCTATCCTATATTATATTCTCTTCTCTTCTATCCTATCCTATCCTATCCTATATTCTCTTCTCTTCTCTTCTCTTCTCTTCTCTTCTATTCTATTCTATTCTATTCTATTCTATTCTATTCTATTCATGTCAGAATCACTGGTGCATCTCCACTTGGTCTCCAACAGGTTCGGCCGCCCAGACCCCAAGTTGTCCGAAGACCCAAAGGCAACGTTGCTGTGGACGGTCGAAGGACATCTGTCTCCAGCCCAGAGCAGTGAGTATTGACTCTCAGATTCCTCCTTCGGAAAAACTTGGTGGAACACGATTGCCCTCTGGTGGAGGAAACCTGGAGACCCTTTGTCCCATACTTCTGAAGGACACCCCGTCCCGACTTCTCCTCTGAACGCCACGCTTGCAAAGTGTAGGGTTAAAACTGAGAAATCCCCACGCACAAATAACAAGAAGGGCTCACTCAATAGGTGGATAAAAATACCAAGTCCAGTCTGGCTGTGGGGGACCAACCAAGGAAAACGTCCTATTTTGCCCTAATAGGCCAGGATTTTGGTCCACCATGCAGCTTACGAGCCCAACTATACAATATTCCTGGTTTTTTTTTCTCAGTCGGGATTTATTTTGCCGTCAGTTGTCGGCTGTGTTCTTTCTCCTTTCTGGATTTTTGGGACGGGAAAGGTTAGAGGGAGCGGTTCTGATTGAACGATGAAAAAAAGAGCAAGGAAGTATGGAGAGCCGATCTTCCTTCCCACCCGCTCTTGCTAGGAAATAAAACTCCAGATAGGAGACTTATCGTCTGAGTCAGACTTCCCCCGCGCCGTGCATTTTACGATGATACCCGCAGATGCTGTGCCAACCAACTGCCAATTGCTACTCGCGGTCTCCTCCTTGGAGAGCGCGGAGAAACAGGTGGAGACGCTCTTGGTGGGAAGCCGTAACCACGTGTCCAAATAGAAGATTTGAACGTCTCGTTATAAACACGCCAGCAATTTCCTGCCGATGAGTCATCCCAGGCAGACATGGCCACAGAGAAAGATGATTCAGTGGTACTTATTTGGGGGAGATGGTGGAAAGTCTCCCATTTCCATCCGGGATAGGACAGTGGGGGAAAGATCTGACCTCTTTGGCTGATGTTGAGGTGGTGGCTTCATATTTGGTGCTTCCTGGACCACCCAAGTCTCTGCAGGACAAGCCCCCCCCCACACACCACCTTTTCGCCTCTCTGCAGACCTCCACAAGACTCCGTTATCCCACCCACAAAGGGATCTGCAGAAAGTTGCCTGCTGGTTCCTCCAGTGTGGAACAAACAAGCTTGGCCCAAGGGAACGAGGTGACAAAGCGTCTCCCCTGCGGGCTTCAGTTTTGGGTGAGGGAGAACTTGGGTAGTTGTGTGGGGGGGGGTTAAGCTGAGTCTGAAGGCTCCTGGCTGGGATTCCCAGGGGATGGAGGCAATCCCTGGGGGGGGGGGTGTTGCTGTGAAGGCGGTTTCATTTTTGCAGAAGAAAAACAATGCATAACAATGTCAGTTAAAGCGTCAAGGCGGCGAGGCTGCTCTCCAGGGTCTTAGTCTGCACAGATTCTCCAAAGTCAAAACAATATAGAAACACGGCCCCTCGGACCATCTGGGGTAGGGTCTAAATCAGGTGGCTCTTCCTTGCCTCCTGCTTCTTTCTTGAAAAACAGAAAGGGCCTGCCCCCCACACTTGATGTCAGAGCAGTTGCTCTGATAATATTCAGCCCCTTTTGGTCTTAGGGAGATCTCTTCTGCATCCTTGCAGTGGAATGCTGCAGCCAATTTTGGTCACCGTATTCCCCAAAAAAAGATGTTGAGAGTTTGGAGAAAATTCAGAGAAGAGCAACTAAGAGGATCCAAGGCCTGGAGACTAAAACATACGAAGAACGGCTGCGGGATTTGGGTTTGGCTAGTCTAGAGAAAAGAAGAAATAGGGGAGACATGATAGCCGCGTTCCAGTATTTGAGGGGCTGCCCCAAAGAAAAGGGGGTCAACTTATTCTCCAAAGCACCAGAAGGCAGGACGAGAAACAACGGTTGGAAACTGACCAAGGAGAGAAGCAACCTGGAATTAAGGAGAAACTTCCTAACAGTGAGGACAATTAACCAGTGGAACAGAAGTTGCCTTCAGAAATCGTGGGTGTTTTTAAGGAGAAACTAGACAGTCATTTATCTGAGATGGTATAGGTTCTCCTGCTTGAGCAGGGGGCTGGACTAGAAGGCCACCAAGGTCCCTTCTAGCTCTATTCTTTTCTAGAGTTTTTAGTGGCTGCTTCTCCAGAGTTTGAAAGACCTGGAGGGAAGGTCCAAGGCCTATTTCTAAACTCCCTCAAACATCCTTTCCATGCTCTCTAGTTCACAGAAAACCTCTGGGTGATCCAGAGGGAAACCTTTCTGGAGAAGGGACGGAGGGGGAGACACCCCCTACACTGTCCCACTGTTTGTGGATCTAGAGTCCTTCTCTTAGCGCAAGAAGCATCTCTGTTGATCTCCCCATCCTTCTTCAGAAACTGCTGGTTGGCCTTTCCCCCCCGTTTCTTGGCGAGGAAGAACATCATCTCAGCACGTCTCTTGATGTTCTCCTTGAACGTCTTCTACGTTCTAGGCTCAAGAGCCCGAGAGATGCCCGAGGGTTTTGCAGCACGTTCCCCTTTCCCTAGCCATAGCCATGTTTCCCCCCAGGTCAAGAGGTGGTAGGATTTAGGTCCTGCCAGCTTGGCTCACTTGCAGGAGACATCTCTTCTTCCCAGCGCCTGTTTTTTTTTTTCCTTGTCTTTCTCCAGGTGGGCTGGCTGGGCCAGGGGTATCACCTGGGTGGCCAGGTCTTAAGGGAGAGGGCAGGGCTTCCCAGCCCCCTTGTTCTAGGAAGGGGACCAGGTTATAATCCAAGAGTTGAGGGTCACCAAAACCTACTGCTTATATCCACCAAATACTCACGCAAAAAGCCCGTTTCGTAGAAGCGGCCTTTTCCTGACAAAACTCTTTGTCACTAAATGCCCACCCCAACTGTTCACCCACTATTCTTCATTATTTTTATCCTCCTTTTCTCTCTCTCTCTCTCTCTCTCTCTCTCTCTCTCTCTCTCTCTCTCTCTCTCTCTCTCTCTCTCTCTCTCTCTCTCTCTCTCTCTCTCNGAAGGCGGTTTCATTTTTGCAGAAGAAAAACAATGCATAACAATGTCAGTTAAAGCGTCAAGGCGGCGAGGCTGCTCTCCAGGGTCTTAGTCTGCACAGATTCTCCAAAGTCAAAACAATATAGAAACACGGCCCCTCGGACCATCTGGGGTAGGGTCTAAATCAGGTGGCTCTTCCTTGCCTCCTGCTTCTTTCTTGATGTCAGAGCAGTTGCTCTGATAATATTCAGCCCCTTTTGGTCTTAGGGAGATCTCTTCTGCATCCTTGCAGTGGAATGCTGCAGCCAATTTTGGTCACCGTATTCCCCAAAAAAAGATGTTGAGAGTTTGGAGAAAATTCAGAGAAGAGCAACTAAGAGGATCCAAGGCCTGGAGACTAAAACATACGAAGAACGGCTGCGGGATTTGGGTTTGGCTAGTCTAGAGAAAAGAAGAAATAGGGGAGACATGATAGCCGCGTTCCAGTATTTGAGGGGCTGCCACAAAGAAAAGGGGGTCAACTTATTCTCCAAAGCACCAGAAGGCAGGACGAGAAACAACAGTTGGAAACTGACCAAGGAGAGAAGCAGTCTGGAATTAAGGAGAAACTTCCTAACAGTGAGGACAATTAACCAGTGGAACAGAAGTTGCCTTCAGAAATCGTGGGTGTTTTTAAGGAGAAACTAGACAGTCATTTATCTGAGATGGTATAGGTTCTCCTGCTTGAGCAGGGGGCTGGACTAGAAGGCCACCAAGGTCCCTTCTAGCTCTATTCTTTTCTAAAGTTTTTAGTGGCTGCTTCTCCAGAGTTTGAAAGGCCTGGAGGGAAGGTCCAAGGCCTATTTCTAAACTCCCTCAAACATCCTTTCCATGCTCTGTAGTTCACAGAAAACCTCTGATGATCCAGAGGGAAACCTTTCTGGAGAAGGGACGGAGGGGGAGACACTCTTTATATTGTCCCACTGTTTGTGGATCTAGAGACCTTCTCTTAGTGCAAGAAGCATCTCTGTTGATCTCCCCATCCTTCTTCAGAAACTGCCAGTTGGCCTTTCCCCCCCGTTTCTTGGCGAGGAAGAACATCATCTCAGCACTTCTCTTGATGTTCTCCTTGAACGTCTTCTACGTTCTAGGCTCAAGAGCCTGAGGGATGCCCGAGGGTTTTGCAGCACGTTCCCATTTCCCTAGCCATAGCCATGTTTCCCCCCAGGTCAAGAGGTGGTAGGATTTAGGTCCTGCCAGCTTGGCTCACTTGCAGGAGACATCTCTTCTTCCCAGCGCCTGTTTTTTTTTTCCTTGTCTTTCTCCAGGTGGGCTGGCTGGGCCAGGGGTATCACCTGGGTGGCCAGGTCTTAAGGGGTATCACCTGGGTGGCAGGGCTTCCCAGCCCCCTTGTTCTAGGAAGGAGATCAGGTTTTAATCCAAGAGTTGAGGGTCACCAAAACCTACTGCTTATATCCACCAAATACTCACGCAAAAAGCCCGTTTCGTAGAAGCGGCCTTTTTCTGATAAAACTCTTTGTCACTAAATGCCCACCCCAACTGTTCACCCACTATTCTTCATTATTTTTATCCTCCTTCTCTCTCTCTCTCTCTCTCTCTCTCTCTCTCTCTCTCTCTCTCTCTCTCTCTCTCCTTTCCTCCCCTCCTCCCTCTCGTTTATCTGTCTTAAGTACATTTAGGTGTCAATTAAATTTGAAATATCTACATTTGTCAGCTCTTGGTTTTTGGCCAGCAGCAGGAGATGGCTGCGGATTTGTCCAGGCATCCTGACATATGTGGGGTGGGGGGAAGCCGCGGGGAGGGGGCTTGGAAGCCCCCGAAATGCAGATTGTCCTCATTAAAACCGAAGCGCTGATCCTCCGAACGGGGAGACGGAACACATCCTCGGCTTTATGGTGCCGTGTTTCTGACATGATATTTAAAAAGGAACAGCTACGGGCTGTCACGGCTGTCAGGCGCCGACACTAACCGGAGACAACGTTAAACTAAACATTAGAAGGAGATCAGCAAGCCATCTGCACGGGAGCTTGGTGGGGGGGGTAAGGGAAAGACGAGGGCCCGTGCAGCCACGCAGCCACGCAGAGCCTCGGGTTTGATGGACAGGCTGCCGTTCATCCCCGGGCCCAGCCACCTTTCCACGTGACAGCTCTTTGTGTGCGCAAAACGCGAGTCGGTGGCGGGTGGCAGCCGCTGGGAGAGAGAAGCCACCGAATCGGGTTAATGAGGCTGCCTCGAGCTAAGGGGTGGGTGGGTGGGAAAAAAAATTAGCCTTGGACATTTTGGGGCACGTCTCCCTCCATCTTTTAAGCACAACGGTGGGTTTTGCCCAAATCCGAACCCCGAGTCGGGGCATCGCCATTCCGAAGGAAGAATTCCCCCCCTTCCCATTGGATGGAGTTGTGTGTATCGGTGTTTAGCAAAAGGAGAAGTAGATCACATACAGGTGGTCCTCGGCTCACCCCAGTTCATTTAGCGACAGTTCAAAGTTACAACGGCACTGAAAAAAAGTCAATTTTTCACACTGATGACCGTCGCGGCATCCCCACGATCACGTGATCAAAATTCAGGCGCAACTGGTTTGTATTTACGACCTGGGGTCACGTGATCCCCTTTGGGGACCATCTGACGAGCAAAGTCAGTGGGGAGAAGCCAGTTTCATTTAACAACTCTGGCGAAGAAGAGTCGTAAAACGGGGCAAAACTCACCTGAGGCATGTCTCGCTTAACAACAGAAAGTTTCCCTTGTGGCCGTGCGACGAGAACTACCTGAGGTTGCCGCTTCGTTAGGTGTTGTTGTTGTTTTTAAATGGATTGGTTGGCGCTCCTGAGAATTTGCAAATGACAGCTTTGGAAAGATGTAGCCTGCAGTGCGATTCTGCCTTTATCTTTGGTCATAAAAGCCGCCTCTCACGAAACCCAGAAAGACACGACCAATTTTAAGAGAGATTCTTCAGTTCAGCGTAGAGAAAAGTAAAGTCTTACGCTTAGGCAAAAAAAACAAAACCCAGATATAGATGGGTTGAAACCAGGCTTAGCAGCAGTAACTGTGAGAGGGATCTTGGAGTCTTAGTGGACAACCAATTCAATATGAGCCAGCCGTGTGCGGCAGCAGACAAAAAAGCCAATGCAGTCCTAAGTTGCATTAAGAGAGGGATTGAATCAAGATCGCGTGAGGTACTAATACCCCTCTATAAAGCCTTAGTAAGGCCACACCTAGAGTATTGCATCCAGTTTTGGTCTCCACACTATAAAAACAGACGTTGAGACTCTAGAAAAAGTGCAGAGAAGAGCAACAAAGATGATGAGGGGACCGGAAGCTAAAACATATGAAGAACGGTTGCAGGAACTGGGCATGGCTAGTCTAGTGAAGAGAAGGACCAAGGGAGACATGATAGTAGGGTTCCAATATTTGAGGGGCTGTCACAGAGAGGAGGGGGTCAACCTATTTTCCAAAGCACCTGAAGGCCAGACAAGGAACAACGGGTGGAAACTGATCAAGGAGAGATTCAACCTAGAAATAAGGAGAAATTTTCTAACAGTGAGAACAATCAACCGATGGAACAGGAGTTGCCTTCAGAAGCTGTGGGAGCTTCATCACTGGAGGCTTCCAAGAAGAGACTGCACCGCCATCTGTCAGAAGTGGTGTAGGGCCTCCAGCTTGGGTGGGGAGGGTGGACTAAGTGACCTACAAGGTCCCTTCCAACTCTGTTATTCTATTATTCTGTTTTGTCTCCTGAGAATTGATGGGGTGAGACTGGACTGCCATCAGTCAGAAATGATGTAGGGCAGGGGTCCCCCCAATCCCCGGTCCGTGGACCAGTATCGGGCAACTGGGCTGCACAAACAAGCAAAGCCCCCCCTCCCCGCAGGATGCAGGCAGCACACAAAACCACGCACCCTCCAGGCTGCGGAAAAATCTCTCTCCACGTAACTGGTCCCTGGTGCCCAAAAGGTTGGGGACCTCTGGTGTAGGGTCTCCTGCTTGGATGGGGGGGTTGGACTGGATGACCTACAAGGTCCCTCCTGACTCTGTTATTCCAGTCTATATTCCATGGCAAAGCTCAAAGCACAGGGCCAACTAAAGGCTCTCCAGAGTTGGCCACCATCCTTCTTCCGAGGTTCCTCTTTGCCCAAGAGGCTGGATCTTTTTCTCCTCCAATGTTGACTGCTGTAGTTTGGCTTCCTTTGGCTTCCCTCTGCAGGTTCCATCCGGCGATATAATCTTTCTCTCCTCTCCCTGTCTCCTTCAGCCTGGTCAAGCCCACGCGCCACTATACGGTCTTCCTGTTGGAGGATTCTTCCGGCGATGAGCTTCCTCAGGACGATGGACCCGTTTCTGCCTTCTCTGACAGCTTTCTCTTCTCCGCGCCTTTCGAATGGTGTCTATCTTGACTGTCGCTACGGCTAGCCCTGCTTCCTTGCTGACCCATCAGCCCTTCCCTTGCTTAGACGCTTCTGTGGCGAGTGTCATGTCTGTGTGTGCGCATGTCCCCCTGCGTTAATAGACCCCTGGCCAACAAGCAAGCGCATTCTGGTTCCGGCGAAGGACTCTTGGAGATTCGCTCTTCTCCTCTGCTGGCTTGGATTGGCGCTGGGTTTTCCCATTCTTTGCACGGCTGTCTTGCCCGTCCCTGGCACCCTGGAGGGAAATAGACAACTGCAAGCAGAAAGCCACTGGGAGATGGGCCTGGGTGAGGCCTGGAGAGGCCTGGGAAGGATCAAGGGAGAAGGGAGAAGATTTGGGGGCCTGCCACAAAGAAGAGGGGGTCAAATTGTTCTCCAAAGCACCAGAGGGCAGGGCGAGAAACAATGGTTGGAAACTGATTAAAGAGAGAAGCAGCCTGGAATTAAGGAGAAACTTCCTGACAGTGAGGACAATCAACCAGTGGAACAGCTTGCCACCAGAAATCGTGGGCGCTCCATCACTGGAGATTTTTAAGAAGAGGCTAGACAATCACTTGTTTGAGATGGTCTAGGTTCTCCTGCTTGAGCAGGGGGCTGGATTGGAAGACCTCCAAGGTCCCTTCCAGTTCTGTTATTCTGTTCTGTTCTGTTCTATTCTATTCTATTCTATTCTATTCTATTCTATTCTATTCTATTCTATTCTATTCTATTCTAATTTTCTATTCTATTCTAATTTCTGTTCTATTCTATTCTATTCTATTCCATTCCATTCCATATTCTATTCTATTCTATTCTATTCTAATTTCTATTCTATTCCATTCCATTCCAATCCATATTCTATTCTATTCTATTCTATTCTATTCTATTCTATTCTATTCTATTCTATTCCATTCCATGTTCTGTTCTGTTCTGTTCTATTATATTCTATTCTATTCTATTCTATTCTAATTTTCTATTCTATTCCATTCCATGTTCTATTCTATTCTATTCTATTCTATTCTATTCTATTCTATTCTATTCTATTCTATTCTATTCTATTCTATTCCATCCTCTCTGCATGGAAGGGAGTCACCCCCTCTTTGAGTGGGTTAGTTGAAGGGTAGTCAGGTTGAAGTAGGGATTGGTGGTTAGAAGCATCTCTGGGAAAAATAACAGCAGGGAATTCGAAACTCTCCAGTGTCAATGCCCCTCTGGCTGTGGTGGGACAGCCTGCCTAGTGCACGTGGGAATCCAAACCATGGTGTGACTTAAGTCTTTATCTGCCCCAAAACTTGCCTCCTCTGACAGAGCATGGAGCGGTCCTCTCTGCTAATGAACTATCCCATGGGTTGAGGCACCAGAGATGGTCAGGGCCTCTGCCCAGCTCTTTTCTGCTGCTTTTCTGGTGTTTCCTTCCACCTCAAGTCTCGTTTAAAGAGCTGGATGAATGCCAGTCAAACACCACCCTGGAGATTGTGTGAGTTCGGGGGTGTTAATTGGATTTGCCTTGCACTGCCATCCCCTCACCTAGGAGTGAGAAGCGAATCCCAGGGTTTGAAGACTTGTCGGCTCCCTGCTCAGTCCTGTCTTCCTCCTAACAGACCGTGCCATTCCTTCATGGAGGAGGCATTGCTTTAAGCATTGTGGATTGCTTAAGGATTCAAGAATCCAAGGTTTGTCTGGGATGGTCTATGTAGAGTCATCTGGAGCCAAAGGAAGACCTTTTCTCATGGTCCTTCAGAGGCCCAGCATGACCTTTTGGCTCAGTAGGTTGTCATCTTGGATCCAGGAAGCCCACATGTCTCATTTTGGTCACACATCCTTACTTCATGCACCTCGGAGAGAGGAATCCTTTGGGCTTCCTAGATCTTCAAAGTCCTGGTGTCTCGTGCTGGCTAAGATTTCTCCCTCTCTTTGACTTGATTGCACTTCTTGTTTCATTGGCTTCGCTGTGAGAAATGCATGCTTGACGTCATCCATCTGCAGCTGGGCTGTGTCTTACGTTGGGTTGAAAGCGCTGAAAACCCCAGCAGAACACTGGTGTAGTTTCGTGGTGTAAGCAACAGAGTCCTTGCTGAACTGCCCAAAGGTCTTGTCATGAGACAACTGGACTTTCTTGTTTTTCTTTGAAGACGTTTTGCTTCTCATCGAAGAAGCTTCTTCAGCTCTGACTGGATGGTAGGGAATGGAAGGATTTATACTCCTTTTAGAGAGTCGTTGAGGCCACTTAGAGGCTTATCTGTGTCCTCAGGGTCACCTGAGTGGTGCAAATGGGTGTGGAGCCTTCTTGGAACTGCTGAAAGGACTGTGTGGTAGACTGGAGGTAGATGATGTCATGTCTCTCCCCCTCTGTTGAGAGAGGGCGGTTCAGTTTTGACCTAGATGACCTCTTTGACCCCTCTTTCAAACCAGCGGTCCTCTCTGTCCAAAATGCAAACAGACCCTGAGGATACAGATACACCTCCAAGTGGCCTCAACGACTCTCCAAAAGAAGGCAAAGGACCAGCTGTCTGCAAGGAGTATAAATCCTTCCATTTCCCCACCATCCAGTCAGAGCTGAAGAAGCTTCTTGGATGAGAAGCGAAACGTCTTCAGAGGAAAACAAGAAAGTCCAGTTGCCTCTGGAAAAAGCACCTTTGGGTCAACCATGGCCTGGAGGACTGAGAGTCTCCATAGATATATATGCCTCACTCTTAATTTTTGTGGCCTTGGCCAAATGGAGCACATTTTGGCAACATCTCAGTGGGCTTCTCGCTGTCCTTAAGAGCCTCAACTCCTAGCTGGGAGATAATGTGGAATTGTCATTCATCGCACACCCATCAGGTCCTTCTGGCTTTCTCTGACCCGTGAAGGATGTTGGTCGATTTCTCCAGAGGGATCCCATCTCTGAACTACCAACTCTTTTCCTTCTCACAGGCCTCAGCCCTATCGCGCTCTGAAGGAATCCGACAGTGGCGATGGAGAAGAAGGCATCAGTCCCGAGAGACTCCAGGACGACAGCCAGATGGACCCGACCACTCCAGAAAGCCCTACAGATATTAGTCTACTGGAAGACATCTTCACAGGACTGGAGGTGGAGTCACAGCCACAGCCACTCAGCCAAGCCAGGAGCTTAGAAGATCTGAGGATTCCCAAACAGGAAGAGGACCAGCAGGGCTCCTTCGACTATCAGGTATGGGACTTGGGTGGGAATGGCTGAGAACACCTGAGCTGTTGGAACAGGTAGTCCTTCACTTCCAACCATAATTGGAACGAATGAAGGAAAATATGTGTACCTCAGGGTTGACACGAGGGGTCCTTGGTGCTCTCTGAGCTTGCTTGTTTTCTTGCAGACGTTTCGTTACTCAACTAGGGAACATCATCAGTGCTAGAAGGGAGGGCAGTTTGGGAAGTGGAGGAGGAGGAATGTGGGGTCCTTGGTGGTCATTGAGCTTGCTTGTTTTCTTGCAGATGTTTCATTACCCAACTAGGGAACATCATCAGTGCTAGAAGGGACTAGGGTTTCCAAAGAGGGGGGGAGGAGGAGGAGGAGGAGGAGGAGAACTGTGGAGTCCTTGGTGCTCTCTGAGCTTGCTTGTTTTCTTGCAGACGTTTCATTACCCAACTAGGAACATCATCAGTGTTGGGATAATGTGGATGACCTGGATGACTGAGAATCTCCATAGACCAGGGGTTGGCAACCTTGGCTCTTTTATGACTCGTGGACTTCAACTCCCAGAATTCCTGAGCCAGCGTGGGGGAACTATGGTCCCCTCATGACTCGTGGACTTCAACTCCCAGAATTCCTGAGCCAGTGTGGCTCAGCTTGGAAATCTCTCCCTTTCCCCTCAAGAATTCTGGGAGTTGAAGTCCACAAGTCATAAAAGAGCCAAGGTTGCCAACCCCTGCCATAGACGTTTGGAGACAGATAACCCATGATTTTTCTGTTTTCTGACAGCGGATGGACCTGGGTTTTGCGGAAAAGAGCTGGACCACCCCAGGGATGAAGCTTTTTCACCCTTATAAGCAGTTCTGGGGCCAGGACGACATGGCCCTCTCCACAAAGTTCTCCCCCAAATCTCCAGAGAGGCCACTGAGAAACGTGCCTCCTGTCCCAAGGAGACCTCAGAGCAGAGACGCCATCCTGGATGTTCCCGAGAAGGAAGTTGGAAGTTCTCCTGCCGCCCAAGGGAATATCACCATCCCACGCCCGCAGGGGAGGAAGACGCCAGAGCTGGGCATTGTCCCACCGCCCCCTCCACCCCGGCTTTCCAAGCAGCAGGTGCCCCCAGAAGCTGCCCCTGGCCTGGCAGGGCCTGGCCAACTGGCCTCGGAGCTCCTGCAGGAGACCTTTGCGGCCAGAAACGTCTCTCTGGACCGGCAACTGGCCGGTTTTGCTCCTCACCAAGTCCAGCTTTCGTCTGGTGCCGTCAATGAAGGAGAAATGCTCCAGCCGGTCAAGGTCAATGCAGAGGGCATGAGTGGAGACAGCGACTCGCTCCTTGCTCTTCTGGACCCACTGAAGTCAGGAGAAGTTCCATCAAGCTCCAGAAGCCAGCTGGGGTCCTCGTCTCCAAGCCCGGCCGGCAGCTTCCCATCCACAGGAGAAGACCTCATGCCCTCTACGTCAGCCCCCTTTCGCCAACTGCTGGGATACCCTCCCTCGGCGACACCCTTTGGCCAGCCCTCGCTCAACCCCTTCGTCCAGGCGGTGCCGACACCTCTGCCGCTCACCGTGGTCAGGCCCCCCGGCGGCCCATTTGCTCCCTCGCTGGGCCACGCTTACAGTTCCAGCTACATCACCTCTAACTCCAGCTTCTTCCAGCTCCAGAGGCCTCCCCCCAACCCTCTGACCCTCTCCATGCCCAACCTCTTTGCCAAGTCTCCCTCAGCCCTGCCGCCAGCTGCTCAGCCTCTTTCCCAGAGTGGCGTCTCTCGTCCGTGTGGCCCTTCTAAGATCCGGACATTGCCTCTTCCTCATTCTGCGGTCAAGATAAAGCTGGCGGCGAGGCCCAGCAACCTCCCGCTGGTTCCCCCCAAGACCAAGGTTGGGGAACCGGCCTTGTGCCCGTCGAAGACTCAGCCGGCTAAAGACCCCTTTGAGGACTTGTTAAATAAAACCAAACAGGAAGTGTCCGTTGTGCCCGGTAAAGTTGAGCAGCTAAGAAGGCAATGGGAAACGTTTGAGTGAGCCCCGGAGCTCATGGCGTCTTGGACTACTGGGTGTTGGGTTACTATAACAATGAGTATTTCCCCAAGCAAAGAAGGGTCAACTGGCTGGCACAGCTCCCCCCCACCCCCGTTAGGAGGGGGGCCTGGCTAAGCCCTGAATAGGAGAAGGAGCCCCCCCCCTTCACCTTTTCACCCATCGCCATCATTGGAAAGGTGATCTGGGCTCCTTGACGTTCCTTTGACTTTCCCTCAAGATAATTGATAAGGTCAATCCCGGTCTCTTCTTGGCCAACCTTGCGTTCCCATTCATCGTGAGCCTGTCACATTCCCAGTGTGAGCAATTGCTTCCCTACCAGATCCCATTTTCAGCCTGGATTCCCAACCCCAAGCCACTGTTGATCAGGATCTGAACCTTGTCGGTTCATTTTTCTCGGACCTTCTCTGACATACCGTGAGCTGCATGGGTTCGAGGCCCCGTGCTGTCCTTGGATTCCCTTCCTGGCCCCTCCAATCTCTGCGCACAACCGTCCCCTTTGCTGAGCAACCCCTTTTTCACACCCCAGGCTTAGCGCTCGTGTGGTGGCATCGCACCACTTTTCAGGGAAGCAACGACACACGTCTTCACGGCTATCAACAACATTAGCACTACCAGCAGTCGTTACTTTTTTAGAGCAAGGCACGTGATCATGGTGTCCCCAAACCTTTCTATAACTGTGCAGCTGTTACACGAACACGTATAATGTGTAGTTATAAAAGTGTTACTCGGCGGTCTCCTTCCTCCGCCTGATGGGAGGATGGTATGGGTGTCCATCTCTGCGGTGTCCTAGTCTAGAATGAAAGGTCTTGACGGACAGCAGCGTCAATCTGCTGCATGATGGAACAGAGGTGGTGGTGATAGGACGGTGGTGATAGTCAAAATGACTTTCACCCCTGATTGTGGACTAATTGCCTTTGGGCTTCATAAGCCAAAAGCCAGAAGACTTCTGCCTGCTCGCTCTTCTTTCTCAACTCCTGCTGAAGATCAAGTTTCCCCTCCAGGCTGTTTTGGAAGATAAAAGGTCCACCATGTCTCAGAATTCAGATCTGCTCAAGGACCTCTTGGTACACCTGCCTGTGTTTCTTTTCCTCAGTTAAATTTGGGGGGGGGAGTTTTAAAAAAATTCCTGGGCAGTTTGTTGTTATCTTAATCACTGTTGTGTGGAAATTAGGCTAGCCAATTGTCTGTATCCACGAGAACTCACTGTGTACAAACCGTGAAAAGTCCCCCTTCAAGCGCCATCTCTTTTTCTTTCCAATGGATTTCATTTCCGTCTCTAGAACCCTCTTGAGGTTCTCCTACCAGCTGGAGAGTTATTTTGGCTTCCATCTCCACAACTACGAAGCCTGTAGATTCCAAGGACGTGGTTGATTCCTCCAAACATGGATTGTCAGGAGACATCTGTAGACCATCTGCTGGCATCATTACGCCTCTGTCCGAAACCGTTGCGTTTTACAAGGCCCTTTCTGTGTTTTGTAGGATCACTTTTGCTGGGGGAGGGAAGGGGTGTGTTTTTGATATTACCTACTTCTGGATAGTAAAATATTTAAAGTCCATCCAACAGGCGAGTGTTGCTTTGCTTCTTAAAAGTTTGGTATATGGAGTGAGAATGGAGTACCGATCTTCAGGCTGTGTCTGTGATTCACCATCTGGGCTGGGCTGGTGTTAGATCAGTCTAACTCAGGGGTCTTCAAACTTGGCTTTTTTATGACTTGTGGACTTCAACTCCCAGAATTCCTCAGCCAGGCACTTCTGGGAGCTGAAGTCCACAAGTCATAAAAGGGCCAAGTTTGAAGATCCCTGGTCCAGGGGTAGGCAACCTTGGCTCTTTTATGACTCGTGGACTTTAACTCCCAGAATTCCTGAGCCAGCATGGCTGGCTCAGAAATTCTGGGAGTTGAAGTCCACGAGTCATAAAAAAGCCAAAGTTGCCTACCTCTGCCCTGGTTTAACTTGTCCCAAATGTGCTTTTTCTGGACTTTCTTGATTTTCTTTGAAGATGTTTTGCTTCTCTATGCAAATGACTAGCTTCTGCAAGGAGTATAAATCCTTCCGTTCCCCACCCTCCAGTCAGAGCTGAAGAAGCTTCTGGGATGGGAAGCGAAACGTGCTCAAAGAAAAGTCCAGATGCCTCCTTGAAAAAGCACCTTTGGGACAGCCATGACCTGGAGGACGGAGAATCTCCATAGACATCAGTCTAACTTCATGTTCTGTCCACAAAAGTGCAATTAGAACAAAGTGTGAACACTCTGCTGCTTTAGAATATGGCAGAGATTTACACATGGGGAGGGGGCTGTTTGCGGGAACAACCCATAATCTCATTGGTACAATTAGAACTTGTAAAACCATGGATACAGCAGCTCAGGTGACAGAAAACCAGATGGAACCGAGAGAAGACATTGAAGATTACCTTGACATCTGGAGCATCTTCTGTCTGGTAAGTCCTTCGTGACCACCACCAACCCCGTCCTTTTGGATAAATAAACTATTCCGATAAGCCTGTTTCTCTTTTTTCACGCAGTTTGGCCTACCTTCCATTTTGGACAGCTCTTATCAGGTCAACTTGAAGATAAAGAGCCCAGATCATTTTTCTGTGTATGTTTTTTTTTAATTACAACCGGGATTACCAGGAGTTGGGTTTCCTACATGTACGTAAACAGATGCTCCATCCGCGGCAAACCTTTTGTGAAAAAATAAACCCCAAATTTAAATATCAAAAGTAAGTTCACGTTAGTAAACAGAACAAATAAATAAATAAATAAAATGCCCCAAGGATTTCATGCTCTGGTGGATCCCATGGGGCTTGCAGCAAGTAGAGGGAAGAATGGCTATTTCTTTGAAACGGAGGGCCAACGTTTTGTGTGTGGTGTGACGGGAAATTAAATTGAAGCCCTTCGGCGTGACGACTAGCCTTCAGAATACGTCTAACCCAAGGAATCGGTGCATTGCAAGGTCCAGGTGAGTGAGTCAAGTGATGGTAAAGCTAAGATTAAAATTGATTTTCCAAAAAGCAGGACAAGAAGCAATGGATGGAAACTAATCAGGGAGAGAAGCAACCTGGAATTAAGGAGAAACTTCCTGACAGTGAGGACAATTAACCAGTGGAACAGAAGTTGCCTCCAGATGTTGTGGGTGCTCCAACACTGGAGGTTTTTAAGAAGAGATTGGACAACCATTTGTCTGAAATGGTCTAGGGTCTCCTGCTTGAGCAGGGGGTTGGACTAGAAGACCTCCAAGGCCCCTTCCAGTTCTATTCTGACTGACTCAGACCCACATTTAAATTTGCAATAAGTCTTGATGCCTTGAAATTTGTAGCCATTCTAGTCCTAGATAAACCTCTTTTAGGAGGGTTGGGTCATTACCAAGAGAGGCTGCAGGATCTCCAGTCAAAGATGATCTGCTGAATTTGGTTCCTTGCCGTCAATTTTCCATCAACGATCCCCCCCGGGGGCTTCAAAGAAAGTTGGTCAAGCTGTTGTTGCTGATGCCTTGGCTGGTTGGCAAATGGGAAGGATTTTTCCACCCCCTCAAAGTTAGGGGACCTAGTTAGGCATCTCCTTTGTCTGCGTTTACCCAGATTGTGAGATACCTTTTGAATGGACACCTCTGAGATCTTCAAGGGGAAATGCTGGAGTAATGAACTAGGAAGCTTTGCAAGATACAAGGTCAACAAAGTTGGCCCTACTTTTCTTCATTCTGTCTTGACCTTTCCTATCTTTGGGAGAAGAAAAATGAGTTTCTCCTCTCCTGGGCTCACTATACAGAGGGAATTGTTTTGTGACTGGTGGGTAGAAACCAATCTGATGGCACATTTTTTTCAGCCAGTACTTCCTTTGGTTCTTGATGAATTGTAATTACTACAGGTAACACTCCTACATCCAGTTTTGGTCACCACGGTGTAAAAAAGATGCTGAGACTCTAGAAAGAGTACAGAGAAGAGCAACAAAGATGATTAGGGGACTGAAGGCTAAAACATATAAGGAACGGTTGCTGGAATTGGGTATGTCTAGTTTAACGAAGAGAAGGACGAGGGGGGACATGATAGCAGCATTCCAATATCTCAGGGGCTGCCCCAAAGAAGAGGAAGTCAAGCTATTTTCCAAGGCGCCTGAAGGCAGGACAAGAAGCAACGGATGGAAACTAACCAAAGAGAGAAGCAACCTAGAACTAAGGAGAAACTTCCTGACAGTGAGAACAATGAACCAGTGGAACAACCTGCCTCCAGAAGCGGTGAATGCTCCAACACTGGAAGTTTTTAAGAAGAGACTGGACAGCCATTTGTCTGAAATGGTATAGGGTTTCCTGCCTGAGCAGGGGGTTGGACTAGATGACCTCCAAGGTCCTTTCCAACTTTATTATTATTATTATCTATGTCTGAGATAGGGGTTGAAATACCACATTGGCCTCTTGAGGAAACAATTTCCTTTTGATTTGTACACCTGAAATATTCTCAACAGTGGCCCTACAACACGATATCAGGAGAAACCCAACAGCTTTCTCCTTTTGCAGCCAGCTGTAGGAACCCACCCCTCCCCTGACTAAGCGAGGTTTAAATTTTAGGGAGTATGTAGTGTGTCTGAAAATATTTCTCCCTGTTCTTCATAGTCATGACACTAACATGCCCACAGTTGTTAAGCCATAGTTGGCCACACATTCAAACGTCTGGTTCGCTGTATAGCATGAGGTGTACTTTCTCCAATCAGGGCTCTGTGGTTGCTTCATGGAGGACAGGAGAAGAAGAAAGCATAGATGCCACCACATCTTTCCATAGCTCCTTGGATGTCCTGTGGATGCACCAAGGAGGAAGGAGGGAACAGCTAAAGGGCTTATATGTCAACCTGCACTAAGGAGGAGTCTTTGATAGCAAGAATTAAACTTCTATCCGCTATGTTTCAGCGTAGAAACCTGAACGTTCCCTGGGAGAAGATGGCTCTTGTGTTTTTGGAGTGCAATCGTTCCTACGTGCGTCGAAAATTATAACTGAAGGGTGGGGTGAAGTGAAGCTGAGGGGTCTTCAGTTAATGCTGTTTCAAGTGGTTTGTTTACAAGGCACTTTAGGATGCTGCATTGTACCTGAGGAGGTCACTGAAATTGTAGGTACTTGATTCTCTTCCAACAGGGGTAATGACAAGGTAATATTTGTTCTGTGGGAGAGGATTTTGGACTTTTTGTGGTGTGTTATCGAGGTTAAGCCGTTTTTGTTGCTCACCTCTTCTGTCTCGCAGCTGCTGGGTGACTAATGAACAGCGTGCAGTTTGCGTTGAGTTCCCCGCCACGAGCTGCTCAGCCTTTCACAGTCCAAAACAACACACTTCACCCAGTCCTGGAGCTTTTTCCTTCGTATCCTCTCAGCTAGTTTACATTCAACCATGGTGGATTGTTATGCAACACCAAAGCCCTACAGTTCTGAGCTTCTGGCCAACCGGTATGGCTGCAGGCACGGCCCAGAGGACATTGGTCCCTACAGTAGCTGGGGCACAGAGTTTGGACATAACTCCTATCAACTGGCCTTCAGCTCATCAGAGGCAGCGTTGACGTTCAGCATCTCAGCACACACCCTGTGTCTCCTGGTGGGTTCATTTGTTGGCTTCTCAAGTAGTCCATTCCTTTATGGCCACACCTGAGATGTCTGATGTGGTGAGAAGCAGCTGAGTAGCTCCAACTGCTCCAAGAATCATGGACCTACTGACATGGCCTCAATGCTGGCCACCAGGATAGGTCAAGATGTTCTTGACCATTTGGAACAGCACTGGAGACGTTCCTTGTAAGCCTTGTCCATAAGTTGGTCATTTATAAGGGAGCACTGTTAACAAGGTCCCCCCAGAGCAGTCCTATAGGCAATGCACCCCTCTAATAATAGGCTTCAGATGTCAAAGGAAGTGCATTGTGTCTTTGTCGGGCTCCTTGTTCTAGCCAACCCTGACAATTTAGGAAGTCCTACCCCTACCTCTAGGAATGAGGCCTCTGAATCCTTCCTCCCAGGCCAAAAGCAGAACCATCACAACCCTCTTAAACAAGCAGGACCTGTGAGAACGTCCTACAACCCAACATAACCACTTGGTAACCCACCCTGGAGGCCATCACAAAGACAGCCACCTTTAAACCACACCGAGGAGCGAGGCAGGGCTTCCGTGCTGATTCTCTTGTAGGTTGGTTGATGCTCAGAAGTCTGTGGATGATCGTCCTTCTCACACAGCAACTTGCCACGGCAGCCTGTTGGGTTGGAACAGCACCTCCGAGGCGTGGGAGTGGGCAGGTGTGGTAGGATTGAGAGGCCAGCTGCTGCCACTGGCAGAGAGGAACCCACAAGGCAGACGTAATGGTCCTCACAGGTCCCAGATGCACAGGTGGGCAGCCACTCAATGGGCGTGCAACTCCACTGCCTTCCTGGTCTTTTGGAAGGAGACGAGGAGATCTCTGCTCACACTCCAAGTGCCAACTTGATGAAGTCCCCTCGTTGCTTATATTAAACGTTCTTCTGGTGGGACTTTGAGTACACTGTCCATCTCCAGGCGAGCTCCGGCCACTTCCTGTTGGCTCGGGCTGTAGGTTCCCTCGGACTGGCGCCTCTTCCGGGCAGTGAGGACCATCAGGACAAGGATGATGATGAGAAGAAACAAGCAGCTGCAGACGACCGGCACCGCCACTTCAACCAAGGGGAATGGGAAGGTAGGGCCTGGGAGACCCCCTCTCTGCCAGAGAAATCAACAAGGAGAAGATGAGTCTGGATAAACGTCCCCCAGCGGTCCTTGAAGGGGAGAACGAGGGGGAAGTCACGGGTGGCCCCCACCCCAGATGAACCACGAGCAAATCACAGGAGCCTTCAACACCTGCCTCCAGAAGCGGTGAAGGCTCCAACACTGGAAGTTTTTAAGAAGAGACTGGACAGCCATTTGTCCGAAATGGTATAGGGTTTCCTGCCTGAGCAGGGGGTTGGACTAGATGACCTCCAAGGTCCCTTCCAACTTTATTATTATTAAGTCTTCCTCGTAAAGAGTTAATTAAGAGTCATCTTGTTGCAAGATGGGCAGCAAATAAATTCAATAAACAAATACAGTTAAGTCTTCAACTCACAACCACAATTGCGCTCAAAATTAGCCGCTGTTAAGTGAATTTTGCCCCATTTTGCAACCTTGCCACAGTTGTTCTTAAGTGAATCACTGCAGCCATTAAGGTAGTAACGTGGTTATTCAGGGAATGCTCGTCAGAAGATCACAAAAGGGGATCCCATGACCCGGGGACATGGTCACCATCTTAAATATGAATCAGCTGCTAAGCATCTGAAGTCTGATCACGTGACCCCAGGGATGCTGCTGCAAGGCTAAAACATATAAGGAACAGTTGCAGGAATTGGGTCTGTCTAGTCTAATGAAGAGAAGGACGAGGGGGGACATGATAGCAGTCTTCCAATATCTCAGGGGCTGCCCCAAAGAAGAGGGAGTCAAGCTATTCTCCAAAGCACCTTCTGAAGGCAAGACAAGAAGCAACGGATGGAAACTCATCAAGGAGAGAAGCAACCTAGAACTAAGGAGAAACTTCCTGACAGTTAGAACAATTAACCAGTGGAACCACCTGCCTCCAGAAGCGGTGAATGCTCCAACACTGGAAGTTTTTAAGAAGAGACTGGACAGCCATTTGTCCGAAATGGTATAGGGTTTCCTGCCTGAGCAGGGGGTTGGGCTAGATGACCTACAAGGTCTCTTCCAACTTTATTATTATTATTATTATTATTATTATTATTATTATTATTATTATTATTATTATTATTATTATTATTATTATTATTATTATTATTATTATTATTATTATTATTATTATTAGCCGTAAGTCACTTTTTTCAGTGCCGTTGTAACTTTAAACAGTCAGCAAATTAACTGTTGTAAGCTGAGGACTATCTGTGAACCCAGATCAAATCCAACGTACCATCCTGGCCCTAAAGAGGCATCCAGACATATAAAGAGAATTCATCTACCACCAAAAGCCACAGAGATAACACAAGAGTTGTTTGCAGACTTTAGAAGCTGGGAGGCTGAACTAAGGAAAGGAGAACGGAGGAACTGGGCAACTTGGAGAGACAATTTTGCCATTTCACACAACTATGAGCCACTGGAGCCATTGAGGGACTCCCACAGGTCTGTGCAAGTTCCCTCATGGGCTACCTAAAGCAGGGGTCCCCAACCCTCAGTCCATGGACCAGTACCGCTCTGTGGCATGCCAGCAACCGGGCCGCACAAACAAGCAAATCTCCATCCGTGAGATGTAGCCAGCACACAAAACCAAGCACTCTCCGGTCTGCGGAAAAACCACGGAACCGGTCCCTGGTGCCCCCAAAATTGGGGACCTCTGACCTAAAGCATCTTCTCAACATACACCTGCAGAAATTCTCTCCTAATGGCCGAGCTTCCTCGCCAAGCCAGGTAAGCTGGTGTAAGCCGTGCTAAAAATAACAGGGCGGAGACACCTGACAGCCCAGCATTCAAATAGAAACCAGGACAGGGAGAAGTATAAGTAGATAAGAAGTGGATTTTGAGCTGCGCATCAAAAAAATGCACGGATCTGGGACGCTCTATACCTGAACAGGATCACTGCATTAAGGAGCCCTTTTGCGCAAGGACCCGATCCACCAGCTTGGAAAATTGTCTTATTGTCCCAAAGGTGTTTTTTCAGGAGGCAACTGGACTTTCTTGTTTTTCTTTGAAGATGTTTCGCTTCTCATCCAAGAAGCTTCTTCAGCTCTGACTGGATGGTGAGGAATGGAAAGATTTATACTCCTTGCAGACAGCTGGTCATTTGCATTTTTAAGAGAGACATTGAGGCCACTTAGAGATTTATCTGTGTTCTCAAAGTCACCTGAGTGGTGCAAATGGGTGTGGAGCCTTCTTGGAACTGCTGAAAGGACAGTGTTGTAGACTGAAGATAGATGATGTTGTATCCCTCCCCCTCTGTTGAGAGAGGGCTGTTCAATTTTGACCTAGATGGCCTCTTTGACCCCTCTTTCAAACCAGCGATCCTCTCTGTCCAGAATGTGGACTGACCCTGAGGACAGAGATAAACCTCCAAGTGGCCTCAGGGACTCTCTAAAAGAAGGCAAATGACCAGCTGTCTGCAAGGAGTATAAATCCTTCCATCCTCCACCATCCAGTCAGAGCTGAAGAAGCTTCTGGGATGAGAAGCGAAATGTCTTCAAAGAGAAACAAGAAAATCCAGTTGCTTCCTGAAAAAAGTACCTTTGGGACAACCATGACCTGGATGACGGAGAATCTCCATAGACATTGCCTCATTGTGTTTTTTTGTGTCTCCTCCCCAGCTCCTTCCAGGTCTTCTGACAGTCCTCGGGCCCTAATCTTTCGCACTCACTTTTCCCCGTGTCCCCTAAAACATTTTGAAGACCACAAAGCTTCCAGCATGAAACTAGAAGTAGTCCTCGACTTATAATGACCGTTCAAAGTTACAACAGCACTGGAAAAAGTGACTTATGACTGTTTTCCACACTTACGACCTTTGTAGCATCCCCATGATCACATGATCAAAATTCAAATGCTCAGTCCCTGACTCATACTTGTGACCATTGCCTGGGGTCACAGGATCCTTTTCTGTGACCTTCTGCCAAGGAAAGAATGGAGAAGTTGGATTCATTTAACGACCATGTTACTAACTTATCAACTGCGGTGATTCACTTAACAACTGTGGCAAGAAAGGTCGTAAAATGGGGCAAAACTCACTTAACACATGTCTCATTTAACAACAGAAATTTTGGGCTCAGGTTGTGGTCATAAGTCAAGGACTACCTGTACCAGACTTGATGGTAGGTCAAGGACTTGTCTACGTAACAAACGTTGGATGAAAAGTATCCATCCAAGTATTGAGGGTGAGGAGGAATGCTTCACAACCTTCCTGGTTTAATCTTGGTTTAATCTTGGGAAAGATTGTAACTCCTTTCCTGAGTCAAGTGTCGCGGGGAAACCCAACCCATTTTTCTGGTACCAAAAGAGAGACGCTTCCTTACGCTAACATCACAATATTCTCCAGCGTAGTTGGCACCGCATATACACCAGAACCGATTCGTGGAGCGCTGACACGTCCCCCCGTTTTTGCAAGGGTTGGGGTCACAGTCACTGATGTTGATCTGGCACCTGGAAAGAAAACGAGGTAGGAATCAGCCACGCGGTCTTAAAAGAAATGAGGAACAGGGTGAGGGTCAAAGAGGTAAAGCGGGTTTTAAAGAGTGAAGATGGAGAGCCAAAACCGTCATCGTACTTCTCCCCCGTGTAGCCGGTCTTGCAGCTGCAGTTGGCTCCCCAGGGGCCACTCATACATTTTCCACCGTTCAAGCAGGTGAAGTTCTTGCCACATTGTTCACGGGGGAAGGGCCACCTGGAATTAAAAGAAGAAGAAGAAGAATCTTGATTTAGAAACCAAACATTTACAGGCGTTCTTCAAGAAGTTGACTTATCAAGTTGCATCTGTAGACTTAGAGTCTAATAGGGGAGAGAAGAGGAAATGGAGCTTTTGAAGGACTTCAGGAAATGGCTTCTTCTAGAAAACTCTTTGGTTTTACCCTGGCTGGTGGTCATATCCTGGTCAGGTCTTCTAATGCCAGCAGTTACTAATAGACAGGAGCTAATAGACAGGAGCTAAAAGCTAAAAGAGAAGATCTTCCAGGGGAACTCCAGAAGACAGCTAGAAGCTACTGAATTGGGTTCAGCCCTTCAGCCCATATGACCTGTTTGTGGACAAAGATTCTTCCCATCACCAGCTTCCACCAGTCCTACGTCGTCTCTGAATGTGCAAAGAGAGATTGCTATTCCAAGAAGTCTCCTGCACACCAAACCCAGGTTTTGAGGTGGTAGTAAGCACTCTGTGTGTACATCAAGCTTCTGTGTGGCTCACTGTCCTCGCCTCTGCTGTCCCACTATTTATGTCAGGGGTCTTCAAACCTGGCCCTTTTATGACTTGTGGACTTCAACTCCCAGAATTCCTCAGCCAGACACGCTGACTGAGGAATTCTGGGAGTTGGAGTCCACAAGTCATAAAAGGGCCAGGTTTGAAGACCCCTGATTTATGTAGTCAGCAAGGTGATTGTCCTCCTGCACTGTTCGGAGGTTAAGACTGAGATGAAGTAGCTTCCTTATGGTCTGGTTGGAAAAAGGTCTATGGAGATTCTCAATCATCCCGGTCAAAGGTGTTTTTTCCAAAAGGCAGCTGGACCTTTTCCTTGAAATTTTGCTTCTCATCCAAGAAGGTTCTTCAGTTCTTGGATGAAGAATTTCTTGGATGAACTTCTTGAACTCAAAGTGAAGAGCGAAACATTTTTAAGGAAAAGAACTCAGAAAGTCCAATTGCCTTTTGGGAAAGCATGTTTGAGGCATCTGGTTGGAAAGGAAAATTGGGGTGAGATTCCCATAGCTCCTACCCCTTGCGCTGTGTCCCAACTCCAAGAAAGAGCGAGAAAAAAACATCTCCAGAATTCTTATTCTTACCAGCCACACTTCCTACAGACTTACTCGCACAGAGGGCCAGAGTATTCTGGCGGGCATTTGCAGGTGTAGCTGTAGACTTCGTCCACACATACCCCTCCGTTCTGGCACTGGTGCCTCACACAGTCATCTACATTGATGTGGCAACGCTTCCCAATGAAACCCTTATGACAGGTGCACTGGAAGTCTCCCACTAGGTCCACACACTCCCCGTGAAGACACGGGCTGGATTTGCAGTCATCCGTGTTGGTCTCACACAGTGGCCCTTCCCACTCAGGCTGGCAGGCACAACTGAAGGCATTGAAGAGGTCCAAGCAGGAGCCTGCATGATGACAGGGATTGGAAGAACAGATGTCTGCTCCTTGGCAGCCCAGAAGGATGGGCTTGCTGGTCACTTGCACGAATTGTTCCGGCTGTGGGTAAAGAGGGTGGCTGGCCAGGGGCAAAATCAGCCCCCCAATGTCTACATGTCCAAGGCAGCCCGTGAAGTTTTCAGCCAAGACAATCAACGTGTTGCTTTTTAAGAAATCCAGGCTGCCCGCATTTCCCAGGAGAGTTGTGTTGGTGGAATTGTCCAGTTGGAGGTGCCACCTTGATGAATAGGCTGAGGGCTCTTCCATGGTCAAAAAGAGGGTGTGCCAGGAGCCATCAGAGATGGGCATCGGCCTGAGAAAGTTTACTCCCTCGACGCCATTCCCACTCCGGATTTCAACCAGGAGCGAAGAGTTTTGAATAGCCACCAGAAGAGAATCTACTTCCTCTACGGCTTGTATCAAGACGGCGTCGGCGTCCCGCGTTCTGAAGTCCAGGCGGAGGCCGTGAAGAGCTTTGGTGACTGACATATTTGCTGTGAATTCAACTGCGTCACGCTCATCAAATGTGGCATTGGCCAGACCTGCGAGATGAAATGGTAATCAAAGGTCAAGAGTGGAAGATTGTCCAATGGAGGCACCAATGAGCACCTCAATCATCTCCCCCGGGAAGTTCAAGGAAGATGAACACTCAAGTCAAAGACCTGTCTAAGGCCTTCAGAAGGAGTGAAATACTAAGCTGACCCAGATATATCAGCCGAGCTCATTGAGAAGAGAAATCAATCAGAGGAAACATAAGATCTAACAAATGAAAAATCCTTGATGGCCAAAGGAGAACTAACAAGTGGACATGAATCAAATCTCCTGAGCTTCTTCTCAGAGAGAGACAGATGGAAAAAGCTCTGGTTCAAACTTAATTTAAATTCAAGAATTTCCTACAAGGAGCTCTCCTGGAATAGAAAACAGACTGTACAGGGGCTTACAAAGAAGAATGTTCAGGATTTGTGCCTGATCCCGTGACTTGGATTAAAAACTACCTACTGTAATTCTTCAAGCCATCTTTTTAAAGAATGAGCAGGCTGAGTCTAATGGTTGAGAGTACTAGGTTGAGAGTACTAGGTTGAGAGCAGAAGAAAAGGGTCTCCAGATTCTGTGTGACCCCCTTTTTTTTTTTTTTTTTAAAGGACATTTCTGCAGTTGCCTGCAATTCCTGGAGGAACACTTACAAATATAACCAGAGGGGACATCCACACAAGTGGTAGGCGGGGGACACAAATCACTTTGGCACCAGACTTTCTCCTCACAACATTTTCCGGTAAAGTTGGGTGGGCAACTGCAGTTAAAGTCATTCCAGGTGACCGTACAGAGACCACTGTTGAGGCAAGGAGAAGACTGAAAGATAAAAGAGACATGATCAGGAGAGGAAAGGGGTCCCGGTTTTCTCTCTGGAAATGAAATGGAGCATGCAATTGAGTGCAAGTGGATTAAATGAGGGGTCTCCAACCTCGGCAACTGTACAACTTGTGGACTTCAACCCACCCACCCACCCCCCCAAGATTCCTCAAACAGCATGGCTAGCTGAGGAATTCTGGGAGTTGAAGTCCACTAGTCATAAAGTTGTCAAAGTTGGGGACCCCTGGGTTCAATGATTAAGAAAGCTGGGTTCTGTAGCTGATGGTGGATGTGGAATTTCGGTATAACTACCTATCTACATCTTCTTTGCACTTCTTGGTACACCCAGATTTAATCTCTATATGTACCTACCCACCACCAGCAACTATCCAGTTTTCTCTCTTTTGATTCCTCTGCGCCACACAGAATTTTGAACATTGGTGAGGCACCACGCTCCTTCATGTGCCTTTTCTCCACAAGACTTGGAGTCTTTGAAGGCTAACCTTCCAGCAAAAGAGGTTGAGTGTTGGGTGAGGTCTGATTAATTATTGAACGAGGTAGGAGGACCGGACTCAACCTGAGCAAACCTCTCTGGGTCTCAAATCAGGGGGTGTTGTAGACAAGAAACACCATCAACCCCCCCTGCACATTGCACAAAACGTGATCCAGGCAATAGAATTCAGAACCTCAACCATTGTAATTCCCATTGCTGGTGCCTCTAGCCTAGTGTTTCTCAGCCTTGGCAACTTGAAGATGTGTGTCCCAAAGGTGCATTTTCAGGAGGCAACTGGACTTTCTTGTTTTTCCTTGGAAGATGTTTCGCTTCTCATCCCAGAAGCTTCTTCATCTCTGACTGGATGGTGGGGAATGGAAGGATTTATACTCCTTTTAGAGAGTCGTTGAGGCCACTTGGAGGTTTACCTGTGTCTTCAGGGTCACCTGAGTGGTGCAAATGGGTGTGAAGCCACCTTGGCTGCAGGATGTTTTCTGCCCTGGGTCCCTTCACTGTTGAAGGCAGATGCAGGCTACTGGGGATGAGTCTAGGTTGTCTGCATCTCAAACTGAACCACAAACGGTTCCTGCAGTCTGCAAAGTTTCCTGGAAATCCTTTCAGGAGTATGTAAGGAATATTTAAATCCTTCCATTCCCCACCCTCCAGTCAGAGCTGAAGAAGCTTCTTGGATGAGAAGCGAAACGCCTCCAAAGAAAAACCAGAAAGTCCAGTGGCCTCTTGAAAAAAGCACCTTTGGGACAACCATGGACCTGGAGGACTAAGAATCTCTACAGATTTTGAAGATGTGCGGACTTCAACTCCCAGAATTTTGTCAAGGTTGAGGAATGTCGCCCTAGTCCCATAGAACCGTCCCATGGCAAGATTGAAAGACCCACAAGGCATGCAGAGGAGGTGCTTCCTTGCAGTTGGAGATGCTTTTTTCCATAAACACAGCTTGGGGGACATCAATGGACACGTTGAGGATAAAGAGAAAATCCGTACCTCACCTTGTTGGCTTTCCTTAGTCTTGTTCTCCAGATCTTTCTCCTTTTGGCCGCATGAGAAGTAAGAACACAGCAAGGAAATGCTATATCTCTAGCAGCATCTAGGCTTGTCTCATCAGAGTTGGCCTATAACAGTGGTGGCGAACCTATGGCATGGGGGCCAGAGGCGGCACTCAAAGCCCTCTCTGTGGGCAAGCACGCTGCCACTGCCAGCAGCTTGTGCAGGTCCATTAGGCTGCCACTGCCACCTGGAGCGGCAGCCCCACCCAGCACAAAGGAGGCGAAGCAGCCAGCTAGCAAGCACGAGTAAAGGTAGTAGAGCATGCCCACACCCAGCAAGCCAAAGGCCACCCCGAGCAGGGAAAGCCAGATCCCCATCGGTGCCATGGCCCCCCAGTCCCAGCTAGGATTGCGTGCCTCCTCCCCATCTATGCTGGGCCTCCTGCCCACCGCCCCACCCACCAGATACCCCCTGGATCTCCCCCAACCCTGCCCGGCCCCCACAGGCATCCCCCCCCATGAGCAACATCGAGGTGGCCATGCCCACCCCAGCCACGTCCACCCAGTCTGCCGTGACAACTGCACCCATACCCACCCAACGGGCCACGCCCACCCACCCCCAAGGGCACCACAATGCTGATGCGGCCCTGGCACTTTGCGATAAATAAATGGGTTTTGGGTTGTGGGTTTCTAAAAGGTTCACCATCACTGGTCTATAACCTCCAAACCAGATTATAGCAGAAGCCACCCCCAGAGGCTTCCTGGATGGCATCTGCTGAAGCGTTTCAGCGTGGAAGTGTGAGCCACTGCACAACACAAGACGTCCTCTGACAAATGTGCCATAGTCTTGTCCATGGGAGTCATGACACAAGGTGAGACTTAGCAGGTGGTTCTCCTGAGCTCTTAGTTTGCCTGTAATTATCAACCATTTGACGTCCCTCCACAACGTAAGAATCTCTCAGGCTATAATGCTACAAGTAAACTGGCCTCTGGTCTACCCAGTGCAGGTGTGTCAAACTCAATTTCATTGAGGGCCGCATCAGCATTGCGGTTGCCCTTGGGGGGCTGGGTGGGTGTGGCCAGGATGGATGCAGCCTACTGGGTGGGCGTGGATGGAGTGGGTGTGGCCTACTGGGTGGGCATGGCCAGCTCTACATTGTTCGCGTCAAGGGGGCCTGTGGGGGCCTGTGGGGGCAGGAGTGGGACAGATCTGAGGGTCTCTGGCAGAAGGGGGTGGGACCAGGGCAGAGCCCATCAAGCCAGATATGTGAAGTAGGCGAGGGCCATTTGCGGGCCACTTCCAGGTGATGGTGCATTTCTTCATTCCTCACAAAGGTTGACACCTCCCCAGCATGCACCCAGGGGGTGGGGCCAACGCGGCAGGGGCTGGTTCCTCGCTGTTTCTGGATGGCCTTGTGGAGCTAAGACTGAATGCGTTTCAGCGTAGATGGCCACCACAAAATTGTACATGGGCTCCCGGCCGGCCTGGGCCAGGGCCAAGGCAGCGGGGGCCGTTCCCTGTTTCCAGGATGGCTTCGCGGGCCACATGAAACCACTTCGTGGGCTGCATCCAGCCCCCAGGCCTTGTGTTTGACATGTCTGACCCAGTGCACTGTTTTCATCCCACCCATAGAGATGTTTTCCCCACATTCAGCAATATCTCAGTACATCAGGAGGCCCTTGAAGCCTGGTTGGTCCTTACCTTGCAGGCATTATCTGACAGGCATTCTGGAACCACGTTCTGGTTTCGTCCCACAAACGCGTCCCGTGAAAGGCTGTCGTTATCTGGAGGAGGGAAAAACTGCATCTGGCGGTGGTTGAGTTGGATATCCTGCAGGCAGCCTTTAAAAGGTCCTCCCCAGGGGTCCAGGTTTTCTTGGTGGGGGAGCCCACCGACATGAACCTCAAAATTGGCGGCAAGAAGGCTGACGGCCAGATCTCCCAGCTCTTCTTCTCTGTTTAACAGGCTGGTCCGAATGAGGCCTTCCCGGAAGGAGAGCACCACAAAGTGCCTGGTGCCATCGGCCAGATTTCCAGAAGATCCCACTGAAGCAGCAGATGGTGCCTCGATCTGGAGCTTCCCGTCCTTCAAATATACTGTAAGGAAAACATTGCTTCCGTTGCCGATCTGGAATATGAGGCCACTGACCTTCCGTGTCCGGATAAAAAAAGAGAGGTTAAAATTTGGCCCAAGTCTGTCGGGAACCTCAAAGGTGGCAAAGCTAGAAGAATTGTCCTGGCCAAATGTTGCTGCAGGAGATTCTGGAAAAGAGAGAGAGAACAGCTTCCTAGTTCCAAGTCAAGAAAAGCAAATTCCTCGGAAACTGCTATGGGTTCAACTGTCACATCTTTTGGGGGGGGGGCTTACAGAATGTCTTCTACTGGGGTGACAGTATTTCAGAAGACCACAGAGTTCTGGGCTGTAGGAATGTCTGGTATAATCTCTACATTTAGGGGGCTGAAGGACGAAGAACGGTTGCAGGAATTGAGTGTGTCTAGCTCAAGGAAAAGAAGGACTAGGGGTGACATGATAGCAGTCTTCCAATATCTGAGGGGCTGCCCCAGAGAAGAGGGGCTCAACCTCTTCTCCAAAAGCACCTGAAGGCCGGACAAGAAGCAACGGATGGAAACTAATCAACTGGGAATTAAGGAGAAACTTCCTGTCAGTGAGAACAATCAACCAGTGGAAGGGCTTGCCTCCAGAGGTTGTGGGTGCTCCATCACTGGAGGTCTTCAAGAAGACACTGGACAACCATTGGTCTGACATGGTCTGACATGGTATAGTTTCCTGCTTGAGCAGGGGTTGGACTCGAAGACCTCCAAAGTCCCTTCCAACTCTGTTACATGAGGCCATTTGATGATTGTGGCACTTCCTTCTCTCTGTCTTCCTTCATCTTGGATAAGAACCCCAAATAAATTCGTTATTCTACCAAAACCAACCCTGTCTACCATTGGCTCCTATCGTTGTTTCTGAAAATCTTATTTTTATTTCTAACCCAACTTCCTGCTCTCTCAAGAAGGTCAATGGGAGTCCTGTCAGGCTACTCACCATAGGCGCAAGTGTGGCCTTCATAAGGCCGAGAACAGCGACAACGGAAGTCTGTCCAGAAGTCAATGCACTGACCACCGTGGGAACAAGGCTGAGATTGACACCACTCCGTTCTCTCGCAGCCCAGCTGAAATCCAGGAAGCTGTAGCCCTTCTACCTCCTCAGGTAAGAATATCTTGGAGTCAATCTGGAAGTCTTCCAGGCAACCAGTGAAGTGTCCTGTGCAGTTGATCATTAATGTCTCCTCAACACCTCCAACATATATATTCAGAAACGAGGGCAAAAGAGAAACGGGGCTGGTCTCGCCAAGGGGATGGCTGAAGTGGCAGAGGCCTCCTTGGCAAGCTTCATGCCACAGTCTGAATTCTAGAGACTCTTCCACAGAGACTTCTGCTTTGTGCCAGTGGCCATCATTCACCGACGGTGCCTCCAGGGTGAAAGAGACATTGACCTCCTGGGTCAAGAGCATCACCTGTAGAAGGCCAGCGTAGAGTTCCAGAAGCAGATGCTCCGTTTGGTGGCCTCGGTAGAAAAGGAGGCCGTTGAGCAGGGTGGTCCGGAACTGGAGAGCCACGCTGGCTCCATGACCACTTGTGTTCTTACCATCTGCAGAGGTGTTGATTAAGAGGTAGCCATTGTCTGTGAGCGAGAAGGTGGTTGGTGTGGAGCAGGTGGGCCCATAAAATCCAGGAGGACACTGGCACAGGTAGCCGTGGACCTCCGATTGGAAGGTGGGGACACACAACGCCCCATTTTGGCAGTTGTGAGTCTCGCAGCCAGTGAGCTCCACAGAGCAGTTCTTCCCGCCCCAGGCTGTGCCATCTGGGTTGCGGGTGCAATGGCAGATATAGTCGGCGATGCTGTCTTCACAGATCCCTCCGTTTTCACAAGGGTGGTCTTGGCATTCGTCTATCTCATTGGCACACTCGGTCCCTGGCACAGAGAAAAGGGGTGGGCAAGCAAAGAGGGTAATGAGCTTCTGAGTTTGCACCACTATACACAATAAAGTATTTCTCTACACACCATTCAGACGAATTTCACTTAGTCCTGGAAGGCTACGAATACGTCAGGCTAAACAGAGGTAGGGATCCTTAAGTATTTGAGGACTGTTAAGCGCAGTGGTGGGATTCAAATAGGTGAACGACCGGTTCTCTGTGTGGATGCCGCTTCCGGAAGTCCGTTCTGGATCTGGCCAACAAAAAATTAGCGGCCGGTTCTGCCGAACTGGTGTGAACCGGCTGAATCCCACCACTGGTTAAGTGTCCGTAGCCCCGATTAAGCAGCCTCTAGCCTCTTCCAGCTCCTCACACAGGTTCCCACTAATCCCCAAGAATGCTGGCCAGATAAACAAAGTTCTGGATTGTTGTATCTTAATAACCTTACACTTGCCCACAGGAAGGAATTGGAACGCAACCAAACAGAATTTGCAAAACGTCCTCTCCCCTACATTGAGGTAGCTTGTAGCCAGTTAAAGATGGATAAGATAAGGGCAATCTTTCTCAACCTCACCAACATTTAAGACGCCTGGACTTCAACTCCCAGAGTCCAACACCGGGGAATTGCATTGCTAAATCCATGGCAAGGCGAAGCAGGAACAGCTAGAGAAGAGTTCCTGTCTTCATCTAGCAGCTCCTCCGAGCCCCCCAATCTCAATCCCAAGTGGAATGAAGTGAGAGAGTTTGGTGCCATGTAATGTGTGAATGGCCTTGGGGGAAACGAGGGGAAAAGATGCTGCCTGGGGAATGGACAGATAATAATAATAATAATAATAATAATAATAATAATAATAATAATAATAATAATAATAATAATAATAATAATAATAATAATAATAATAATAATAATAATAATAATAATAATAATAATAATAATAATAAAGTTGGAAGGGACCTTGGAGGTCATCTAGTCCAACCCCGGCTCAGGCAGGAAACCCTATACCATTTCAGACAAATGGCTGTCCGGTCTCTTCTTAAAAACTTCCAGTGTTGGAGCATTCACCGCTTCTGGAGGCAGGTTGTTCCACTGGTTAATTGCTCTAACTGTCAGGAAGTTTCTCCTTAGTTCTAGGTTGCTTCTCTCTTTGGTTAGTTTCCACCCATTGCTTCTTGTCCTGCCTTCAGGCGCTTTGGAGAATAGCTTGACTCCCTCTTCTTTGGGGCAGCCCCTGAGATATTGGAAGACTGCCATCATGTCACCCCTCGTCCTTCTCTTCGTTAAACTAGACATACCCAATTCCAGCAACCGTTCCTTATATGTTTTAGCCTCCAGTCTCCTAATCATCTTTGTTGCTCTTCTCTGTACTCTTTCTAGAGTCTCAGCATATTTTTTACATCGCGGTGACCAAAACTGGATGCAGTATTCCAAGTGTGGCCTTACCAAGGCCTTGTAAAGTGGTATTAACACTTCACGTGATCTTAATTCTATCCCTCTGTTAATGCAGCCTAGCACTGTGTTGGCCTTTTTGGCAGCTGCAGCACACGGCTGGCTCATATTTAAGTGATTGTCTACTCTACTAGGACTCCGAGATCCCTCTCACAGTTACTACTATTGAGCAAGGTACCCCCTAAACTATACCTGTACATTTGGGTTTTCTTGCCTAAATGTAGAACCTTACTTTTTTCACCATTGAATTTCATTTTGTTAGATAGCGCCCAGTGTTCAAGTCTGTCCAGATCCTCCTGTATCCTAAGCCTGTCTTCTGGAGTGTTGGCTATTCCTGCCAGCTTGGTATCGTCTGCAAATTTGATGAGAGGAAGCATAGCCCCCCTCCTCCAACTTCATAATGGGAGGAGAAAGACACTCAGATGACCCTCCTTAATTTCTCAAGCTGTAAAAAGGACCCTGAGAGATTTGTATGGTCATTCTTGCAAGATTCTGAAATGTAGCTTTACAGTACAGTAGAATTAGCTCACCTAGTTATGTTTTACCTGGCAGGGCAGGTGAATTGGAGGATGCCAACTAGAAGCGTCTCTTCCTGTTCCCGGTGGACCTCCTTTCAGAAGGAGAAATGACGTTCCTTGCGCTAATAATTCTCATTCCGAAATAACCTTCTCTGAAGCTGCCACTGCTTAAAATTGGGGTGGCGGTGGGGTTACCTCTGAGTCCTGCACTTCTAGCCAACATCAAATTAATCCCCACAGCCCTCTCAGGCTCCCTTGTTGGTGGCTAATTTCCCCTGGGAAACCATGTTTTGATTCCTCCTTTGTTTGTTTGCCGGGGTGGAGAAAACCGGTTGCTGCAGTGGCTTGCATCACGTCGGCCCTGATCAAGTCTCTTCACAACTGCCCTACACAAGGAAGCCAACTCATGTCATGGAAGAGTAGCTAAGGTCATTCCTCCTTCCAATCGGGCAGATTGAGCCCTGGATGTTTTTTTGTTGAGAAGGAGCCTTCTACTCAATGCAACAGGCCAGCATTAAGCCTCCCATTAGGGCAGGTGTGCTATTGCTTAAGCGGTGCTCCTTAGCCAACTCAACAAGGCTGGTCTTTCAGCCCCTGATAGCGATCCCATGCTCTCTTGGGAGCAGCATCAACCCCCTCACCTTTCACACAAACAGCAAAGATTTGTGCAAGGCCACACAACGTGGGCAACCAACAAAGGACACCTAAAAGAAGGACCTTTTTCCAAGCGTGGTCCTTTGGGTTTGAGAACGTGCCAAACTTTGTGAGGGAACAACTGAGGAGCAACACAATTACAGGTGCATAGCTAAATGTCTATGGAGAGTCTCAGTCAGTCATCCAGGTCACGGTTGTCCCAAAGGTGCTTTTTTCACGAGGCAATTGGACTTTCTGGGTTTGTTTGGTTTTTTTTGAAGACGTTTCATTTCTCATTCAGAGCTAAAAAAGCTTCTTGGATGAGAAGCGAATAGAATATAGAATAGAATAGAACAGAACAGAACAGAACAGAACAGAACAGAACAGAACAGAATAGAATAGAATATAGAACAGAACAGAACAGAACAGAATAGAATAGAATAGAATAGAATAGAATAGAATAATAGAAAAATAATAGAATAGAACAGAATAGAATAGAATAGAATAGAATATAGAATAGAACAGAATAGAATATAGAATAGAATATAGAATAGAATATAGAATAGAATAGAATAGAATAGAACAGAATAGAATATAGAATAGAATAGAACACAATATAGAATAGAATAGAATAGAATATAGAATAGAATAGAACACAATATAGAATAGAATAGAATATAGAATAGAATAGAATAGAATATAGAATAGAATAGAACAGAATAGAATAGAATATAGAATAGAATATAGAACAGAACAGAATAGAATAGAATAGAATAGAATAGAATAGAATAGAATAGAATAGAATAGAATATAGAATAGAATAGAATAGAATAGAATAGAATAGAATAGAATAGAATAGAATAGAATAGAATATAGACTAGACTAGACTAGACTAGACTAGAACAGAACAGAACAGAATATAGAATAGAATAGAATAGAGCTGGAAGGGACCTTGGAGGTCTTCCAGTCCAGCCCCCCCCCCCCCCCGTTGCCTTGTGAAAAAAGCACCTTTGGGACACAATTGCAGGGTTTTCATTCCTTGAATTCTTCCTTTGAGGGGAAAGGGCTTTAAAGACTTCTCTTCCACTGAGATATTTCTTTGCTTCAGCAAAGAATCCAAAGAAGGGCATCCATCCCCTTTTGCAGAAATGAGAATCTGCCGGAGGAGGCATTTTGTTTCTATCCGCAAGAATAAAATAGGCTGGAATGTGCCAGGAAATATTTTACAATCCAGGTCTGTGGGAGGAAGGAGACTCGGAGGGAGGGGGCAGAGAGTCCTCGGAGGAAAGGGAGTAAGGATGGTCTCTTTTGAAGAGGAGGCCAGCTTAAGTACCCTATAGTTCGGCTGCTAACTCCGGAATGGCCTTGGGTTTTCAAGGGCTGCTCCCTTTCCCCTGTGGGGGGACACAAAAAAACCCCGCAGCTAAAAAAAAAAAAAAGGAGTTTGTTGGATGTTAGGATCCAGGAGCCTCCACCCAGAGCAGAACAGCTTCATCAAAGGAACACTGCAAGTTGCTAGGAGATCACCAAGGAAATCTCCCTCAACCCATTAATCCAACGCATGCGTCCATCTGTATGCTGGGAATTCCTTCCCTTCAGCAGAGACAGAAGATCTTGATCTATCAGCATGCACCCCACCCCACTCCCTTTGGGGATAAGCAGTTGGGGTGAAGTGGAGAAAAGAAGTAAGGAAGGAGATAAGGAAAACGAAAGGAAAACAAACATAGCTAAAACCAACGCAGTTCACTTATTACTCCATGCTTCTTCTTTTTTTTTTTTTATCCTGGTCAACCATCTCTGCTTCTCCTACATTCTTCCTGCCTTGTTATCTTGGATTTCTTTATCTCAGAGGTCTGCTCCCCTCTCAGCCACATTCCCTCTTTTTTGTATATTTATTTTAGGAACCAATCCCTATCTATTCTCCTTCGGTGACTACCAAACCCAACATGCTTCTATGGTCATGCTATGGCCAATCGATTTTTCTGTTCAATCTGCCTTCATCCAGGTGGATGGCCTTCGTTCTTGACGTGATCTCGTTTAATCCAACGCATTTAAGAATCTGCCCTCACGTCCTGTAAGTTTATCCTGATTACCCAAACGCTCACTTTCACAAAACATACACAGCCCCCCCCCCCTTTTTTGTATCTTTTTAGCAAACATTAATTGCTCCCAGGGATAATTACCCTTCTACTCATGTTTGCACATTTTAACATCTCAAACATTCTCCATAAAAGTTTCCCCTCTTCACTAAATATCCTAGTGAGATATTCTCCTTGTTCTTACTGTCAAGGTTATCAATCTTCTTTTGATGAAAAGGACCATTAGTGGGGCACACAGATCATTAGTCTGTCTATCTGTCTGTCTGTCTATCTATCCACCTATATCTACTGTATGTCTGTC